CAACATATTCAGTCTATTGGCAGTAAGATAAGTGTACTATTTTAGTGGCAAGGAAAGACAAAAGTAGCTATACTAGAATATGTTGAAATTCATTTTGGCAGTCATGTTTTCCATAGGGCACAATATTATATTTTAGCTTTTTTTTTCTGTTTTAATGCTGCCCTGGATACAACAGGCACTGGGGTGTTGCCTCTGAAAACTGTGCTGCCATTGTAAACTGCTTAGAGAGGGCTATAAAGTGCTGTGAAGTGGTATACAAGTCTAAGTGCTATTGCTATTGCTTATTAGCCAAAATATTCCTCATAGAAGCCCTGCAGATTATCCACGTTTCCATACCTACCTGGCAGGGACTGGATGACCCTTAAAAGGGACATTTTTAAAATATTGACATTTTGTCACCCTTACCAACATGAAGTAATCACTAATATGATTCTTACAATGTTTGAGGAGGGATGTTATATTTCTGATAATGCAATAAAAACTAGTATGATTGTACTGATTGCTCTCAAATATTACTTTTTTCCAGAAAGGGAATAGTACATTCCCAATTCCTCCTCAACTACCACCTGGTGGACCATTTTCTTTGTCCTCTTCTCTACGATCATCAGAGATTTTGCCACCTCCTCCCCCACCTCTTCCTTTCTCCAGCTGTCCTCCTCCTCCAGCTCCACCACCACCTCCAGGTGGACCTCCACCACCACCTGGAGCACCTCCATTCTTCAGTGTCAGTCTGCCTCCAGTTTCTTCCACCACCACGTTCAGCAACAGTGAGATTAGCCTACAGAAAAAATCAATCCCACAGCCATCTCATCCACTGAAATCCTTCAATTGGGCCAAATTGAGTGAGGTAAGGTTCAAAAATACTATTTTTGTTTAGCTTGCTGTTGATTGAAAAGTTGAAGAAGATTGGAATGTTGAAGATTGTGGTAAGGTAGATATGTAATAAGAACCCAATTTTAGGTGCAAAACTGATACTCATTTATTAAAATTATATGATTATAAACATAAAGTTACGTGGCACACACACAGAGATATATCACTGACAGATAGCTAAGGTGGCAGACATTGGAAAATCCAATCAACTCAAGTATAGGCACTAACACCAGATCCGTAGAAGCAGGGGTCTATCACATTAGACTGAACCCAAGGTGCAGACTATGCAGAAAGACCTCAGAGAAGTCCAAAGCATAGTGGCAGAGTGTAAGAATTCAGGCAGGAACATTATATATAGAACAGCACAACAAAGTAGCTATTGTGTAGAGGAACATCTACGAAGTGTATGAGCTAGACTCTCCCAAGCCCAAATGGAGAGATTATGGAGAATAACAGGGCTAAGATCTTGTGGGACTTCCAGAACCAGGTGGACAGGCAAGTACTGGTGGTGATAAATTAGCAGCGCCAAGTGCCAGCAACATCAGGAAGAAGGAGTATGGAGGAGTAAGGAGGAATTAGAGGGGATGTGGAAAGTAAAGACCAAAGTGGTCCCAGTGATGATACGAGCACTCATGGCTGTGACTCCTAAACTCGGAGAGTGGCTCCAAACATCCTAGGAACAACATCAGAGCGTTCTGTCCAGTTACTAGACAGTTACTAGACAGATACTCTACAGAACCCTCAGAGTCCCAAAGCTCTGATAGATATCCCGAGATTGAGGAAGACACATATCACCCTTAAGGGTGAGAAGGGAATTTTTATACACACAGACCCACATATCATCTTAAGGTAGATTTTGAAAGTAAGGCCTATTACTTTTAAAATGGGAAGAATTTTCTAATTAAATTTAATTACAAAACTCATCACAAAGCTTCTAATACCGCAGTTTTGTAATTTAAACATTTTAGAAGACAGAGAAAATACCCTGACATTTCAAAATACATTCTTCAGTCAACCCTATTTAAATGTTCCTTCCTCCCCCATGTTAAACTCTAGCAAAAACATTCTTTCCACATTGCATGTGGAAGAGTTAACATTTAAAATTTTATCATGTGTTTACCTAAACACATGCAAATGTCGTGGTATTTATATATACCCACGGTCTGCTGGAGCTCTTGTGCAGCATGTTCTCAAGCAAGCCTCTTTGGAAGGAAGCTTTTAACTTTGCAGTTTCCACCAAAATGGATGGAGTGTTTGTGGTGGGGGTAGGATTGGTGGCAGTGAAAAGCAGGCGGAAAAGTTTGAGACAGCCCTGGGGCTAGAACGTTTACAGAGACTAAATGACATGCAATGCTCTGAACAACTCATTCATTGCATAACTATGGATGAGCATAATCTCCCTCTTCTAGTTACAAATCAATGTAGCTCTTCCTTCTAGAGTACCCAGCCTACCTTTTGCATAGCACACTTGTTTTCATCCAACTCTGCAACTGCCCCCACCTCATAATTTCTGTCTCCCCTATTACTCTTTGGCCATTAAAAAATGCAGATAGAATACTGTCTGTGTTGAATTTGGGTAGCTGCCTAGAAATCCATGCACTTTTTAAAACTCCCAAGTCACTGAGGGCTCAGCTCAGGCATGTGGAATAAGTGTCTTGGGACCTTTGGAATGCCACAAGAATGCACTCTTTCTCTTCTCGTTTACTCTTCTTTTCTTTTCAAATATGATAAAGTGAGATATTTTCTGTTCCTCCTGTTCTTGTCTTTCAAAGCCACGTGGGGCTATGGGAGACCATGGGAGTAAGTTTTATTTTCAGGAATTGGTACTTTTGGGGGGAGGGAGTTATATGCACATACACAAACACACTGAACCACAAGAGACACAGATGTTTCTTTTTAGTTTACAATGACCAAAAGCTTCTCCTTCATTGGTTAACAGTGAAGACAGCTGTATTGATAAATAGGGATTAGAGAATGAATAAATATGCAGTTTTGGAGCATGCAAGAATAGTTTGCATTTGGAGAGGAATGATTTGATTGCATTTGCCATAATTTACATGGTATGTAGAAGCTACCAAAACTAGGGTGGAACTTCAGTAATAATATTTAATATGAGCCATGTGATGCAGTGGTTAGAGTGCAGTATTGCAGGCTACTTCTGCTGACTGCCAGCTGCCTTCAATTTGGCAGTTCAAGTCTCACCAGGTTCAAGGTTGACTCAGCTTTCCATCCTTCTTTGGTGGGTAAAATGAGGATCCAGATTGTTGGGAGCAGTGTGCTGACTCTGTTAACCGCTTAGAGAGGGCTGTAAAGCACTGTGAAGTGATATATAAGTCTAAGTGCTATTGCTATTGCTATATAGGGAATTTCATTTGTATGTTGTTTTTCATATGGCTTATATTGAGTGCATTGCAGGTGCTTCCCAGTTGGCAAAATGAGGGCAACAATATGTTGACTTGCTGCTACAATGTGATTATGTAATCATATGACAAGTATTTGGTGTCTAGCTTACAATTATGCGGTCACAGCAAGCTGCAGGTGTGCTCTTGTGATTTTCAGTGTTCCCTGCTGGCTTCCCACAAGCAAAATCAACTGGGAAACCAGCAGGAAGTCAGATGCCATCATCATGCGAGATTGTCCCCTAATGAAGGCATGAGGACTTCTGAACTTCTGTTGCTAAGTGACACATGTGCTAAGTCACACGACCTCATACTTAACAACTCATGTGCTAAGTCACATGACCTCATACTTAACAACTGCGTCATTTAGAATTGGACATTCTGGTCCCAAATGCTTTCATAACCCAAGGGCTACATACATATGTACATCTAAATATATAGATATATGCTCATTGAATCACACATTCTAAACTTTTCTATGTTCTTTCCTTTTATTTGTGTCTATCATTTTATTTCCTTCCTCTCCTACATCTAATGTAGGGAGCTAATGACCCCAGCTTATTCCTTTTATTCCTTTCCTTTGCTGCCCTCCCACTTATGATGTGTAAAAACAAAAGTTATTTTCTTCTCAGTCTGACTTCTGGCTATCTTTTAGCCATCCAAGATTTGGTTGATGGTTGTCATTTTTCAGGCTCTTCAGCCAGGCATCTGTTGCCTCTGGCCTGAATTGCTGCTGAAACTTTGGCATCTCTGTTTCTGACTCAGAAGGAGAAAGTTTGCTATCACTGCTGTGAACTATTGTCACTATTTCAGAGGTTGGCATGGCTGCCTAGCTCTGCAGCTGCTCTCACCTCTTGGCCCTGTTGCTGCTCACAGTTTCCTGCTACTCATGCTTCTGAAATAAATCCCATTTCTTTTGGCCCCTTCAGTCACCCTTTGCAGATAACTCCAGGCCTCCAACCAGTTTTGTCCTGAGCTTCTCCTGTTTGCTCAGCTCATTCCACAACTCCTGCTTGTAGTAATGTCCTCACTCCCTCTGCAATGCACATGAACAGAACATCTCTTCCTGACACATCCACAAACCTCTTTTGTTGTTGTTGTTGTTGGAGATATGGTGTGGTCAATTCAGCTGTAAATTCCAGAGAAAAGCATGCATAAGTGCACCATCATGCCTCCCGTCCCTCTCCTATTGTCCCCATTTAATCGTACCTATTTTCTGTATTCTTACTCATGTTTATAATTATACCTATTATTTTGTAAGTGATTGACAAATTAAATAAATAAAAAAATAAAAAAGGAAAAGTAATGCGCTTGGACAGACTGTTGCAAAAGTCTCCTACCATAGTCTATGGTAGAAAAAAATGACATCAGGACAAATTGAATAATAAAAAAAGGGAATACAACCAGTGTGTCTTAATGGAAAAGTTTCCAGAGGTTTAATTTTCAATAACTGCTGTTTTCATGTGATAAATTAAGTGAGCTTTATGGGACTTCATTGGGCTTCATTTTTAAGCAATCAATTCTTGACTATATTTTTGATTGTAGTCGTCTCCATCAGTGCCTTCCCCTGCTGTTCATAAAGATGTGCAGAGTAAAATGTGTCCCAGGGTCATTTTCCATATTCTGGTTTTATGTCTCATTCAAAATTATAAACTAGACAGACCAGAACACTGCAACAGCTCTGAGTGAATTTAACAGAGATAAAGCAGAAAAATTTGCAGTTCTCAGTGGAAACTTGCTTTGGAATAAAAGCCATCCTATAAGCCAAATAGTGACTTCAGGAGAGTCCAAAGGCATTTTTTGCTTTTGTCTTTATTTCTTTTTTCTTTTTGGCCTGGATTTTCTCCAAAAGTTGCATCTTCTTTTAATCATGTTCTATCCATTGAGTTCTTCCTGAGCCCTTTTAGCTTCTCAAAATAATGCATTTTTTTTCTTGTTTCTTTAATAAGAGTGAGTGGGAGATAGAAGCTGTTCTTAATTAGTTTAATAATGAAGTGCTAATGCACTTTACTATGTGAGTGCCTTTAGTGAAGTTCAGTTTAGGTGCTAGGAGTGTCCTATTTTTAGCCAGTCTGGTCTCCCAAGATACCACATGCTGGGCAGCTTCCCCACCTCCTCCTCCACCACTTTTTCTTTCTTAAATATAACTTTTTACAGTTTCTAAAATTTCTGATTTTTTTTTTTTGCATAAAAAGTGTTTTTAGAAGAAAATGTATTTTACCCAAAGTATCTCAGATATCATTTAATAAAGTGTTAGAAGAATGAATTGCAATCAACTATGAAAAGAAAAAATGAAGGAAGCAATGCTTTTAAGTATGACTTTTAATAGTATTTCGCCTTTGTATGTATTTGGGAGTTGAAGATGGAACAATGATAGATATATGGAAATTGTGATTTTCTAGAATGTTGTAGGGCTAGTCATGGTTATATACATCTCTTTGAATTTAGGAAAAGATACAGGGTACAATCTGGCATGAAATTGATGACATACGGGCTTTCAAGATGCTGGATTTGGAAGATTTTGAAAAAATGTTTTCAGCCTATCAAAGACATCAGGTAAGACATTTCAATGCTATTTCCCTCATTCCAAGTTCTGAATTGTTTATGTTCCTCTATAAAAAATAGTTTCAGTGTTTGGTGCACCATCAGAGAAGCAAGCAGTAGGAAATGTCTTTTCATGGATGTGGTATTTTCAGGATAAACAGATTGGCTTCAGGTTTGAGTATGCCAGGTAAAAAGCCTTCTGGATGGCTCCCTCTTTTATTAACTTATCTGGTGTTGATGACTGAAAATGGGATGCCACAGTGCTAGGCTCTGTTTCCTGCATATAACATCATTCTGAGACATTGTGAGACATTGAATGGTGGTTTGACCGAGATACTTAGTGCTGATGAGAATGTCAGTCAGTAAGTAGACAAGTTTGACATAGTTTCAACAATTGCTTTAGGTTAACAGTTTCTGATACTGGTCTTGGAGATAAACTATGTTATTATTACTTTACATTTTGTTTGCCATAATGCCTGTCTTTAGTGGAAAAATACATCACCAATCTGATTTGTGTTTGCAGTTGTTATATAATGGATAGTGGTGTTTAGTGTAGTTTGGCATTGGCTTGCTTTGATTTGGTCTGGTCTGGTCTAGTCTAGTAATTTAAATTTATTAGCCACCCAACTTGAATGGAATCTTTTTAGTCATTTTTCACTTGTCTTGTTAATGATGTTAATTCCATTTTATAATACTGTTTCTTCTTAGCTAATAAATCTTGCATAATAAATTTAGATTGGCTCAGCTTTGTGTTTGTCTTACTTCATTTTCTTTTTTCTTTTTTACTTTTCTTTCTTATATTTTACTTTCATTTTCTTATAATAGATTATAATAGATATTTAATGCTAACAGTAGTGACATACTTTTAATAGCAGCTGTACAGGTTTTTTCCCCTCCTTTTCTTGGAAAGCGGATTGCCCTCCTGCTGTTTTTCTCTCATAAATGAGACTCAACTGGATAGTTCAGTGGGATTTTAACTTTTTCCCTCCTTCTTTTCCAAATTCTTTCATAGCTATTAAATTATATTTTGAAAACATGGTTTCTCCCAGTTGTCTGGTGTACAAATGCTAGTCCTAAACTGCGCTGGAAGTTCAGCTTTTCTTCTCCAATAATATAAAACAGTGATGCCACACTGTACCGAACTGTTGAAAGATTTTAATAAATTAGTCTAGAAAAACTGACCTGACTCCAACACCTTCCCTTTGGAAATGAACCATTTAATTTTCAGGACTCCTAAAAGATTCAGATTCATTTTTATTGCTAAAAGCACATGAAAATGAGTTGGCCACTTCTGAATCCATGTGTAAAGTTTGGTTCCCATTCAGTGACAAATGTCCTCTTCTTGTCAACCACAAAATAACCAAGTTTGGGACAGGCTAAGGCTTTAAACCAAATTGAGATTTTGTTCTTGATGTATTCCCATCCGATTAAGCAAAGTTTAGAGATTTAAGTAGTTAATTGAAGACTTCCTGTCTTGTCATAAGGAAGTGGAATGGAACTGGATCATGATTCTGTTCTTCTGTTAAGATATGATCAAAATGAGCTTTGCTTGTCTAAATAGATCAGTTCTATTCTGGTCATTCAACGGCTTTAAACTTCAGCCAAATGAAGCCAAACTCAGCAAATCCCAGAGAGATTTGTGGGGCAGGGTTGCATGCGTGAGCATGAATGAGACATTTCTTTTTCTTGCTGCAGTTAATATGATATTGTATTTGGTCCCCCAGCTTCTTTTCCTGTAAACGACTTCTTTTTTCTTAGAAAAGACAAAGAGTCTGTTCTTCACTCCATACAAAAGTATTTGCTGTTTGTTATACACTGAGAAGGCAATGTTAAACAGGAATAGAATCTTATTCCAAGGTCTCTCATTGATTTTTTTATGATGTTCAAAAGGCCAGTTCATTATTTTATAACATCACATAATCGCAAAAAGAAAGTACTGAGAAACCTTATTTGTTGCCTATAAAATCCTGTTAACTATTGTCTTTAGAATCTCTATGGAAAAGAAATTCTGCAGAATTCAGTAATAGCTCCTACTTTTGTGTCTTTGGAAGGGAGAACACGCTGTCATGCATTTTGTCTTTGATTATTTTAATAGTGTCGTGCTAACCAGCGCTTCAGTAGAAGACCGAATATTATTGCTTTGATAAACTCTGTATCTTTTCATTGCTGTTGCTAACTGTTGGCATGTTTCCTTCTCCGTTATCTTCAACTGTTGCCTGAGTAGGACCTGTTAACTAATCCTACTTCTTCCTGTAAGCCGGTGAGTATTACTGCCTGTCCCCTTTCTGGCTTTGCCAATTTCTTTTCCAGGGTTTAGATGACGAGATCCAACTGTAACTTCATAATCCACTTTGTTTATTGCATGAGTAAACCTTATCTTTCATCTGCACATATATAGGTGTTTCTGTGACTAAGACAAAGGATTGTCTTTCATGAAGTTTGAGAGACAGAAATTAAAATGCAGTCTGCTTTTGTGTGTCCAAGCCCCCATGAGTAAGTGAGAGATATCAGAGATGGAACTGTCACTTTTGTTTATGAAACAGAATAGGTTTTACTGACCTCTTGCAAATAATCCTGTTACTTTTATTTACTAAATAAAGGATCCTGAGTTTCAGTTGTTAATGGGAGCATCTTTTGAACTAAGTTATGTCATGGATGTCCCAATGAATAGAAGAGGGGGATGACTTCAATGATTCTTCCTCTTTTAGCTTCTCAATTCTTAGAATATCTGCTCCATTAAACTGAAGATCTTCTGGAACACTATGAAATTTTAGGAATTTGGTTGTATTTTTATTTATTTGCTGGGTTCTATGTACTACCCCACGCTGATATGACAGTCAGTGACTTGTATTCCTTCTTACAATAAAAAGATTGCGAGAGTAAATCTCAAACATAGTTCACCAACATCCTCTTCTTAGTCTCAATCGTATCCATAAAGTCAAAGGTTATTTCATTTACCAGGTGCTGATATAATCCCTGTGGTATCTCTTAATAGTATTGTTCCTACTTTTTAAACATTATTTATTTGGATTCAAGTTTATATCATGTGTCATAATGCATGTCATTGTGTGTATAATGTGGTCTTCATTTAATTACACTTTTCAGGCTTCCATTTGTAGCAAAGGCAATAAGATGCACCTTAGATGCACATATATATGCATGATGCTTGTACATATACTGTTGCCTGCTTCACTTACATCTGGATTTTCAAGGAAACACAAATAAGGAAATAAACCATGTTTATGCGGTTTCTTATTTTTTTTAAGTTTTATTTTTATAGCATTGTAATCCAATAACTTTGGAGGATTTTCTCCCACGCTGCTTACTTTGGTTATGATGGATTGCCCACCTAGTGTTCCTTCTCAGTATTGCATTGACTGAAAAATGGAACCAAAAAAAGAAAGAAAGAAAGAAATAATTCCACATTTTTTAAACTATTTGTAGAAGGAAATGGGATCAACTGAAGATCTATACCTATCCAGTCGAAAGGTGAAAGAGCTTTCTGTGATTGATGGCCGGAGAGCACAAAATTGTGTCATCCTCCTTTCCAAGTAAGTTTACCTTATCTTGCATTTGTCTGGAAATTTCAGTTTGCTGATATACAGGAGGGATGCAAGTAGAATTCCTATTTGATTGCTGCTATTCCAAACATTTTAGACCAGAATCTGTCTCTGAAATGTTCTTGAGAAATGAAAGATGTTTAGGTTTCTCTCCAATGTCAACGTTGATCAATTCTGTCTTTCACATGAATACAAATGCATCAGCTTGGGATTTAAACTAATTGCGATATAAACTCAAACAGTGATTTACATAGCTTGACAGGTTGTTTGCCTTGAATTTTTAAAATCTAAATATTGATTTATTGGATTTTATATCCTCACTTATCGGACAGCTTCTTAGAAATCTTGCTTATATTTTCCAATGTATGTTTGTGGCTGTTAATAATTCTTTCTTCCGACTTGGTAAATTTTATGCATTTTTTTTCTGTTTTATTCATATCAAATGTTTCATTAAATAAAATAATGTTTTTTGTGTAACCTAATTCTTTACATAATTGAGTAAAGAATAATTGGAAGTAAATGCTCCATTTGCTCATGAACAAGGCAGTATGCAAAGAAATGGCACATTGACATGTTTGGCATTGTAAGCAGCTGCGCTTTTGGTGTTTAGCTGAATTGCTTGTCCATCTGCTTTTGACAAAAAGTTTGAGAATAGTTATAGTGAATGTATTGTGGGGTGAAAAAAAACAGTGCTAAATAACTGATAGAAGTAACTGATGGAATATTTTCAGGTTGCATTCATCTTTTTAGGTACATAGGCATCAAATATTTAACACCAAGAAAAAACATTCAACCGTCCTAACACTGCTTTATTTCCCAACATGGAAAGTAATAGGATTAAGAGCTTTTGTATTAAGAACTCAAGTTGTTTTTATGAATGAATACACAAGAATGGTTCCAGACAGAGGCATCTTAGCACTTGTAGACAAAGTGTGGGTTGTTCCATCTTTTTACTTTTTAACAATTTTTAATGAAAATTAAAAAGAAGATGGAAGGAGAAAGACCATAATTGCCTTCTATCAGCTTTATGGAAAGCAACTTTTACAAGCAGCATTGTACAACATGCTTTCAGCATCTTAATGTTCTGTTTTACACATTATTTTTGTTCTTTAAACTTTCCATCTGTCTTTCAGGATCTCCATCCAACCACGATATTTGTTTCTCTCCCCCTCCCCTTCATTCTTCCTTCATTTATTTGTTTGCTATGTGATCATCTATTCTTACCATAATGCTCGTTCACTGGAGCATAATATGGAACTATCATTAATCTATGGATTTCTACATTCTTATTCACCTACAGATTCTGAATGACACTAATTTATGCTTCCACGCTTTTTAGCCCTTTCCTACTGAACCTATGGTTTCCTTTTCCTAATTATATTCATCAATATGAGTACATGCACAGATTCTTGAAAGTTTAATTGTACAGTTCTTGAGACAACCTATTTTCAATAATAAATTGGGGAATATATTAACAATTAAGAACTGTAGTCAGAGGTTTTCTTTGTGCATATATACCTTTGAATGGAGTGAAGAGTCTCCTGCAGTTTTGTTGGCCAGATTTCATAAGTGATTTGCCATTGCCTGCTTTCTAGAACTGAGAGAATGTGATTGACCCAAGGTGCATCCAGTTGATTTAATCCCTAAGGTAGGACTAGAAGTCACAAACTCTAGCCTTAAGTGGTCAGTTTGTAAGATGATCAGTTGTAAGGACAGTTTATTTTGATTTATATTAGAAATTGATTTTTTTTACTCCAGAAAAACAATTGCGAAAATCTCAGGATATTTGGAGGGTATTATGCTGTTATATCTTAAATAGAATTTTAGTAGTGATGTCTGTTTCCTGACCTTACCTAACTCAAGGGGCTGATACCCCACATCAGAAATGTCTGTAAGAAGAGAAAAAGAAAAAAGGGTATAGTAAAATTTTTGTAAGACTATTTGGGCATGAAATTCTTGAAATTAGTGAAATTAGTGGACATGAAATTCTTGCTGATTCTTATGGGATGAAATGTTAACCAGGAGGAATGGGAAATTAAACTGAATATTCTAGGAAAAAAAACACGATTCACTGATCGATGTAGAGTTTTGTTCCATCTGGGAGCACAGGGCAAAATATGAATTTAATGTCTGCCTGCACATTTTTTAAGATAACTGCATCATGTGATGGCACTCTGCAGCTGTTGCACAGTATAGAAAAAAGTGTAGCTACTTTGAAGAGTTGTAGACAAGTATAGTGTTTGAGCCCCTGTGAATTCCGAAATGTCTTTTGGGTACCTTTTGGACTCAAATCCAAAGCATTTCATAGCTCTAATAATTCACTGTTGCAACCTCCAGAGATGAACAATACAGACAGAACATTTTGTTTATTCCTATATATGCCTCTGTGTGTATATATTGTAATTAATAAGATATAAAAATTTAAAATTGAAGTGCTTCAGTCTCAACATTATACTAAGCCTCACATTATCCTTATACCATGTGTTTTTGATATAAATCTCAATCAGATTTTATGTTTATGCAAATGCATATACTGAAACTTCAGATGCTGCAATGCCCACATTTTAGTATGGAATGCACATAGAATTTCAGGATGGATTAAAACAGTAGACTTAAAATCTGAAGCAAGCCAAGATATCCTATTTAGTTTTAGCCTCCTGCACAATTTATTTTTCTTCATTTCAGAGAATAAGATAAAACTGAACAGCTGAGGAAGATCAGCATTGCATGTATAAAATTCCTTGAAAGTGAACCCTATTGCTTAAAGGAATAGACATCCAACATGAGTCTCCTCTTCCCCCTTTTTAATTTTCAACTCTTATGACTCAGATTCATGGTCATTACATAGTGCAGTCTTTAAATCAAGCATCCTGTGTAAAACTATTGTGTCTAAAATTTATATCAGTAAGCCGTGTGCTCATCTTTACTCTCCAAAAAGGCATGCCTTTGTTTTTGGCAGTCATAGGAATATCTAAAGGCTAGAAGGCAAGTCAAGGAAAGTTTGATTTTGGCTTGGCATCCAATAAGACACTACTTGGCAGACATCAGCAATGTTAACAAGCATGTCACCCTTTCCCCAAATCCTCTTTTACTCAATGCAAGTTATTAGGGCCAAAAAAATAACATCTTAATAATCTGTAATTCCAAAATTGTTTCAGACTTGTCCTCTTTTCTCCATAGTTGGTTCAAATGAAATCAAACCAAACTTATGATGATCAAAAATTAGCATACCAAAAAAAAGATTAAATTAATAAATTAATAAATTAATAAATTGCAATTAGTAATACAAGTCCAAACTGGCAAATTTGAATTAACTGTTGCTTCATTTTTACTGCAGCCATACAAAATTTGGCTCCAATATTAATATTAGCAAGATTAGAGACTGAATGTGTCCTTAATGTGTATCACTAGCTTGCAGATTTCCATGTGATTTTCACTTTCAGGATTGTTCCTGGAAAGGATGCTAACTTGATTTTGGTATTCACTATCATTCAGCCTTTGAAGGACTTGCTTTTTTTGCCTGGTCAAAACCAGATTCACTGCCAATATGCATGGTGAGGGGTGGTCATCCATCAAGATTAACGATCTCTCATCCCTCGATTGGCAATCTCTATTCACTGGATGCAATACTGTTGAAGACCATTACAACATTTTTTTACTTGAAGTCAAAAGAGTCATCAAACTATATGTTCCAACAACAACTCCAAAAACAAAACAAAAAAGCAGATTACCCATATCAATAAGGAAACTTCAATCCAAAAAGAGATCACTCTGGCGGAAAAACAAATCTGGTCACGTTGCTAATTTCAAAAACCGATACAAAAATTTATGCCACCAGATAAAGACTGAATGCACCAATTATCACATTAAACAAGAGGAAAACCTTCTAAGCACCAATTCCACCCGTGCTTTTTACAATTTTGTAAACAACAAACTAAAAGACTCAAGGTCCATCCCTCCCTTGATAGGACCCGATGGTAAAGACTGCAGCGACGACACCATTAAAGCCAACATCTTTAACACATTCTTCGGCTCAGTGTTTGTAAACAGTAATGGATCATGCCCAATGTTTCCTAGCCGTACCACAGATAACAACAATGATCTAATACATATCGATTTTACAGTAGACAACGTTGAAAAAGCACTACGCAACCTAAAACCATCTCTATCTATTGGACCGGATGGAATATGTGCCTACTTCTTAAGAAAGCTATCCACTGCCATAGCCAAACCTCTAAGCATAATCTTTGAAAAATCTTTCAGGACCAGCTCCTTGCCTAACCTATGGTTACAAGCCACAGTCATCCCTATCTTCAAAAAGGGAGACTCAAGCCTAGTTGAAAATTACAGACCAATCTCCTTATGCTGCGTCACCTGTAAAGTCATGGAATCAATTATTAACCAATCCATCATCCTCCATTTAGAGACAAACAACCTACTCTCCAATAAATAATTTGGTTTCAGAAAAAAACTATCCTGTAATCTGCAACTCTTACACTGCAAAAACATATGGACTACACAACTCGACCAGGGCAAAGCAATTGACGCAATCTACATAGACTTCTGCAAAGCCTTTGATTCAGTGGTACACGACAAACTACTCCTAAAAATAAAATCTTATGGTATCTCTGGACAACTGAATAACTGGATAGAAGCATTCCTGTCAAACAGACAACAAATGGTCAAAATCGGGAACGCCCTATCAAATCCAGTACCTGTCAATAGTGGTGTTCCCCAAGGCAGTGTTCTAGGACCAACTCTCTTCATAATCTACATAAACGACCTTTGTGATCATATCAAGAGCAATTGCGTTCTCTTCACTGATGATGTAAAGCTGTTCAATACCACAGACAATACTACTACCCTACAAAAAGACCTAGACTATGTATCTGAATGGTCTAACATATGGCAACTTCAAATCTCAACAAATAAATGCTCTGTATTACATATTGGTAAAAAAAATCAGAAAATAAAATACAAGCTGAATAGTC